TGAATATACTTCTGTCGTGATATTAATATTTTTGAGAAAAAAGTATAGTCCGATAATTATATTGTCCACAATCCCCATTTATTTAAACGTTAACATTATATTGCCCCTAAATCTGCATTTTCTTTCCGGCAGTGAAAATTCTATTACTCGTAATGATGTTCATTATGACGATTATAATATCACCGTTACTCTGGAAAGTCTATTTGTCTGTCCACAAAATTCTTCTCTGAAAATTATCATTTGCAACATTGTCTATGTCAACCCGTATGATAAAGGCATACAATAATATATTTGTATTTTTTCATAATTTTTTTCAAATTGTACAAAATTATCATCGTTTATTACAGTAAACATTTCATCGCGCAGGCTTTAAAAGATACGATGACTTGCACAATGTAAAAATATGTCAATTACCGACAAAAAAACTCTATTTATTATGGTATATTGTATGCTTTTGAAAACAAAATGGCTAATAAATTATTAAAATATTGAATTTACTTAGTCTGAGATTCAATCATAAAATCTTTCTCGATGAGGTAAATTTGGTGGAAACTTTTACATTATGTGTCTTTTAAAATGATGCATCCCAAATATTTCTTAATTATTTTATACACTTGGATATGATCTGTAGTAAGCTCACGCACAATACATCTGATACTAGAACGTAAATATGTATGTTTCATGGATGTGTGACGCGAAAAAAAACGCGAATCTGATAAAAGACAATCGGAATATTTGTTGTTTGTTAATGAAAAGTAACGTAGTGCAGTCAGCAATGCCGCGTTATATTAACGAAGAATTAGCAAATATGCTGCTCATTTATGGCGATGCCATAAAAATGGCATCTTTGCATAAGTCTGACAGAGATAGAAACTGTCAACGTCCGCGTGTCGGCCCATTGCAAAGTATTCTCTTATCGCATCTTGTTTGTCGCATGCCACGTCATCAAAGATAAAGATGGAATTCGGAAGCGCTTCGTTTGGTGGGACGATGTCGCTATTATTGGACAATGTATAATAGCCGATTTCTTCTATCGAGGTCAATAACTTTAAGTATTGATATTTCGATTGTTGCAATGATTTCGAGTACACGTACGCGTTCTCGAAGCGTACACCGTGCGGACTCTCCAACAAGCTTATCAGCACGTTTGCCTTGCCGCAGTTTGATGGGCCACAGATGATACCGCGTATAGAAATCGGTAGCATATTTCCATGCTTACGTATCTTTTTATCAGACATTAACCTTATCTTATCATCAAAATTTATCACTTTGATCGTCTGCAACTGTCGCACGAACCGCATCTTTTTTCCCTCCATATAATATTCTAAAGAATTTATCGAGAGCGGACCTATTTATAGAAGCGCGTAGCGCGAATGTGCTCAGTTGCCAAAATGTTTCTTATCGTGTCGGATAACAGTGATAATCTCAGTTTAACCAACAAAAAGGTTAGAGTATATACCGAAAGTCGTTTTGCTGCGAGAGTTTCCGAACTGTATAAGTCAATTGTGGGACAGATTACCCCAGCATATAAAAACTGATTCGGAGGTTCAACAGTATCATCGGTGTCTGAAACATTACAATCAACCGTGGCAGCGGACACACATTGATGGTCCTGCACCGTTTGTAAAGAATTGCAGCGAATGCCGTCGAGAGGCCGCGGTTTGATAAATCTCGCGATAAATGACTTCCTTTCGAATTATATATCCCCGGATATCAGTTTTGCGGCCCAGAACTGCGTTTAGAACAACGATTGGCTAGAGGTAATCGGGGCATTAATCCACTAGACGCGGCGTGTCGCGAGCACAACATCGTATATTCGCCGATCAACGAACTCGCTGAACGGCACGTGGCTGACAACATACTCGCCGCGAAAGCGCGAAAACGCATAACCGCAAAAGATTCGACTCTCGGAGAGAGAGCCACAGCCACAGCTGTTTGGGCGGCTATGAAAGCCAAGACGAAATTCGGCATAGGTTTAAAAACGAAGAGGAAAAGGAGCAAGTGAATACTTCCGGTAGCTAAACGCGGAGGTATCTTGCCACTCTTGCCATTGTTGGGTGTTTTCGGTTCGTTGGTCGGCGGGGCGGCGGGAGTCGCAAAGGCCGTGAGCGATAACAAAGCCGCGCAGCGTCAGCTGGAAGAATTGAAACGTCACAATCGCGTCATGGAATGTCACGGAGATTATCTCGCTCCGTATAAGCGCGGCCGAGGCGTCTCGATGCGGAAACCCCCCCCCCCAAAAAAACGTTAAAATTTTCAACAGCAACTACCAACATACAACTGTAACAATTGGCTGAACGTATGCATATTCCACATTTCAGAGGTATTTTCATGCGAACCACTTTACCGACAGGAGGAGTACGTCGAAATAAGAGCGGTATCGTGAATTTGAACAATGCTGAGGGACTTGGTACTCATTAGGTGGCATATGCAAAGAGGGGCAATCGTGCTATATATTTTGACAATTTTGGTAATCTTCGACCGCCGAAGGAATTGGTGCGATATCTATGGGACGTAAATCGAATCCAATCACACGCCTTATCAGCGTTACGATCAAAGCAATTGCGGTAATCTGTGTTTACAGTTTTTACAGACGGTAGATAATCTATTTAAAGACAGACATTGCAACATTTAGACTCAGTATTCATTCAAACATGTCGCTGACGTTTACGTTGACAGGCAAAAGTAGCATCCTCGCGGTAAGCTACTTTCCACCTGTAGATTTGAGCGATGGTGAATACGAACTCGGTCTGGCAGATTTTGAAACATATACCTAATGTAAATTCGTCGAATAATAAATTTTATTTCGATAAAGACGACAAGGAGATTGTAATTCCCGAAGAATCCTACGAATTGCATGATATTGCAAAATATCTGAAACGTGCAATCCTACATGTTCGTCCAAACGATGCTGCGAGAAAGAAAACGAAAAGCGATGAAGAGGATGAAAACGATTACCCGCTGGTGATTCGCGCCAATAACAATACGATGAA